ACACCCCCCTTCTCTCTCTCTCTCTCTCTCTCTCTCTCTCTCTCTCTCTCTCTCTCTGCAAAACCTGCGCACCGTACGGGCCGACGCCATCTCGCCCAAAATGAAGGGCAAAAACCACAAGTCTCGCTATATATCGTTGTGCGAGCTGGTGCCTTCTTCCCTTTACCTTTCATTTGGCTCTATTTATAATGGCGTGTTCCGTAGTAAACCGGAAATGCATGTACACACGAATGCGCGGTCTAGGATATTTCGATACATATGTCTATGGTTGCTAGATCTCAGGTAAACATTGGTTCTTGCTAAGTCTGCACTTCTGTGTTCCTGTTAACTGTTATATTATTCTGCTGCTGTCAGCTGTGGTTGTTTACCTTGTACAGGGCTACTCCATCAGCGGGGTCTCCTTCCCCAGTCTTTAAAATAATAGGTTTAACGCCCGTATCTATCAACACTAATAGGTTATTTAAGAGGCAGGACCTCCGAGTGTAAGGTCCGTCTCGAAAAAGGACTGAAAATGCGAAATTCATGTTAAGTGCCTTTCCTAAGGACACGACGTCGGACCGAGCAGAGGCTCGAACCCTCGAACCCGCAACCTCACCTTTACGTGTCCGGTAGCCTACAGTGGCGGTAGGTGGACCCAAATTTGGGTGGGGCTTAGGTTGCTTCCAGTTCTTTACCACCAAATAGCAAGCAATAAGAATTAAACAGCAAGGATTTTTCTATTGTCACGGTGTGCTACGGCAGTTTGAGAAGCATTCAAACGAGAAGAGTTGCCTTTGTTTTCCATCTCTTTGCTCTCAGTTAAATTCTTATTGATGGTAGGGACGAAGCCGATTCACTTCCAAATTTCCTCTAATTAGTTTTCGTGTGATGAAAAAGTTGCCTTACAAGTAGTTCGACCTGATTTATAACTGTTAAATCTCCGCGGCACAAACACAAATCTGCACACACAGCACTTCAAACATAATACTTCTATGAGCTGGATTAGGCCCTCTCTGATTAGGCCGCGTAGTCGAGAACGTTGAACACACCCAACAATGAACCAATGAGCGCATAGGTATCTGTGTCAGTGGGGGAAAGTGTGTCGTAAACTTTCACCCCATTGTCAGGGCTAGGAGAGCGTGAGCCCTCGGTACAGTATTATTTTTACCCAGTCTTCTACCTTTTTACAAGAAGAGTTTCATTAAGGACGGGCTGTGGGAAAAGGGCTCATCTTTGCTGAGCCCTAAAGACATTTGATTGGCTGCTGGGTTACTATAGTTGTAAGCGGTGACAACAATGATTGGATAAGCGAGCAAGGCGCCAAGTTGATCACTCTGTCTTCATTGCGTGCGGCCATAACGGTTTCAACTGCTTATTTCAATTTGGAGAAACTTTCCTTTACTTTGGGATAGAGTTGGTTTTGGTGGGTGGGGAGGGGGTAGGGGCTCAAGCCCGTGAGCCCTTCACTACCCACCGCCACTGGTAGCCTAACCACTAGACCACCGACACCCCCCCCCCCTCCTGTCTTAGGCACAGCCAACTTTCAGTGTGCGTGGTTGGAGGGTGGGTGCTTCTAGTTGGTCTCACGTCTTTTCTTTGTCTGTGTTTTTTGTTTCTGTCTCTGTCTTTTTTGTTGCATTTTCTCCGCCTTTAAACGACCGTCACTGGCGTGTGTGATGTAGGCCACACACGTAAACCTACATTAGATTCCTGTGTGGGGAGAATCTTTATAGAGTATTTTGATGTTTCTGCAAGGACGTTGTATCCCTCTCAGTCAGCCCGGGTCGGTCCTGCAGGCAAGGTCGAAGCCTGCCTCCTATATTATGTGAATTTTGTTGTTTTGGGCGTAAAGAAAACCCTATAGATTATGAACAAACAAACAAACAAACAACCCCCCAACCAACCCCCCCCCCAAAAAAAACAAACAAACCCACAACAACTTTTAAAAAAATAATCACATTCTGTTGCGGGTAGTTGGGGGGATGGGCCACTGGTGGGTCCTTCTTCTTTTTTCGCAATGATTAATGATTGGAGGGCGCTTGTTGGTCCTACTTCTGTACGCTCTGTCATTCAAGGTCAGGAGGCGTTTCTGACGTATTCGTTTTTATTAACTTTCTTGCTATTGTTATGTAAGGCTTACTTTTCCACAGAGTGTGGTTTTGATGTGCTTCTCTTAACTCTAATAACAATTGCCGCACAATTCATGATTTTGTTTTTGCATCTAGTGGGCTTTTTGATAAATCTTGAACAAACATCTTGCGCTACATTTATTTTGGTCTGGGAAGGTGCTTTCTAATTGGACCATAATACTTGTTTTGATGTAGACGAAAAACATAAAATCTGCACTAGAATAGTGTGACCGTGAGAACGCGCGCTAAGCCTGAGAAGTGAAGACCATTAAGCTATTAGAGTAAGCCCCGGTTTGGCGCAGCGGTAGTTTCCGCTTCCTGTGTCCCCCGACAGAGTTTATGACATCTCTCTGACTGGGGTTGTTGAGACGTCACTCAAGGCAACCCAATTGTTGGGTAGGCTTGCATATTGCCATTTGATGTAAAAAGTAAAACCGAGTACGTGCGAATTTGGATCAAATCGACTTTTCAATATAACCCCCCCCCCGAAAAACAAAACGGAAAAAAACCCCGAGCAAAAAACAAACAAACAGCCACAACAGCAAAAACAAAATGATAAACATGAAAATGCCAACCTCTTAAACTTGGTCTTATTGCTGGTTCAGTGTCATCTAGTTTAAATCTGTGGCAGATTTACTTTGCCAGAAAATGTGCTCTTC